ATCTCTCTCTCTCTCTGTCTGTCTGTCTGCCTGTCTATCTCTCTCTCTCTCTGCTATCGTTCTATTGTTGTCTGCCCCTTTTTATCTACCTCCTCTCTCCTTCCCCCTCTCTGCCTACCTCACACATCTTCCTTCAATTTCTCTGCATCTCACCGGTCTGGATGTTTGATTATCCACCAGTTGTTGACATCCTTGAAAGCATAGCATGAGACTTGCTGTTGGTGACTACTACCTCTGAAAATATCACACAGATAAACCAATAGAAACAATTAACTTCAATATAACACTAGTCAGCAAAGCAATGATTCAGTTCTTGGTATTGTAACGAGTAGATATATGCTCGTTTATTGGCCTCATTTTTTATCAAAAATTTTAGAACAGGGATGGATGGGGGGAACTTGAATGACCATAGGGACTCCAACATTACCTGAAATCTATATGAATGGCCACGCAGTTCTTGATTTTTATTTCATTTAACGATGAGCATAAAAACAAGTGCACATTTACCTGCCATCATGGTAGCGTATTGGGTAAAGTGCCTCATGTGAATGTAACCAGCAAAGGACACCGTGCGTGTGACGCAAAGTTATCTGTGAGCCAAACACGACTTCTCTCGGTTGATCCTTAATGATGGATGACAAACCGCCCTAATAAAGTATGGATATAAACAACAACATAAACCATACATTAAGTATAATATGCAAGCCACTTAGTAGAATGCTGATGTAAGTGTCATAGCTAACACAAAAATAGCTGCCAAAAGTAGTACAGATAAACCATATTGGATTTCATAAGCAAGTATCAACCCCTAATAAATCCATCTTGACTAAAGAAAAAATCGAATCGGCTATCAAACACCCTATCCATTTAATCTGATAGGTACTGACAGCTTGAACTTGAACTTGAAGCTTGACTCTTGAAAAAAAACATGAATATTCAAGGATATATGAATCATGCATGTTTCTTGCATGTTTCATGCATAAATAATATAATATAATACCCTGCCCAGACAGTTATTTTTGTGACTGTTTTGCACATAAAACGTGAATGAATTATTATGCATAAATTTTCATGTACCAAAAGTGAAACCGTTTTCGTCCAAAAAACTCCTGCCAAATGAAAATTAATGGGTGATACATAAACAGTATATTCTCTGTACGAAGCATACACATGAAATAATCTATGAACAATTCCAAGTATGTGCCATAAAAATTCCAAAACATGAACAAGACATTTCCTTTAATTGTTATGCATGAAACATGAAATGTTTTCATGTTTTTTTTCCAAGAGTAGGTGCTTACAATATGGAGTTTGAAATTTGCTTGTTCCATTGTATGAAAATCTATAGTCTAATGCTAGATTATTCCTTCTTCCATCACAAAGGCAGAGGTATAATATACTGCACAATAATTACATGGCCATCAGCATACATAACATAGGCTCATAGGGTCTATGTCCCCCAGGGCACTGCCGGAACGTACCCTGGGTACGGTCCGGTATACCGGAACGTACCCTGGTAACTACCTGATATGGTTAGGGTTAGGGTTAGGGTTAGGGAGTAGGTCCCGAATATCGTGACCGTACGTCGAGCGGTTAAGATTTGTGCCCAACTGTTGACGGACGACCGGACGACCGGACGACCGGACGACCGGACGACCGGACGACCGGACGGACGGACGATCAATCGATTCTACAAGCTGCATCTGACTATGTCAGATGAGCTAAAAAGTGAACAAAGGCTAGACCCGTATAGCATGAAAAAAACACTGTCTATATATCTGATTTTTGCCCATGATAGCATTGTCAACATGTTGGAGTTAAGAGAAATGCATTTCCAACCAAATATGAAGGCTGTTGCCTCTCTTGTAGTCCTACAAGTTCCGAGACAGAACTGATGACTTTCTTGAATAAAACATGCAAACATGAATGCTCAGTTAGAGCAGCAAAATCCAGCTGTTTTCAATAAAGGGTCACATGATCAGAAAGACTATATGTGTGCACTGCAGACTGCATTATCGATAACATATCTGTGACCATTAATCTGGTAGCCACACGAAAGTAAAGCAATGCAGAATTCTGCCCTAGCCGGTGGTGCCCCTCCCACTGTTTCCATTTAGGAAATTTATCCTCTTTCTACAACACTGAAGGTGTTGTTAGAATATATGTAGCCTTGATAGCACTTCTTTAAAGCAAGTATGTGACCTGGTGTCCTACACACTTGCTGTTGCCTCCTATAATTCAAGAATTCTTAAAAATATTAAAATTTGACCTGGGAAACTGGCATTACCAACAGCCAATTAATTGACTCAGCGTGTTAATCACTAAAAGGACAGTGATCATAGAATCATATCATTGATTCGTGATTTAGGCTAAATAAACTTAAATAAGAATTTGCTAGAAAAATATAGCCGGGAACAGGAATGTGGGTGAGAATTTATTAATACAAAAGGGTAAGTCTAATAACTTGGGAGAATCCATCATGTTTTATAACTTACCCGATCAGCATGTAGACATGTTCAACCATGGTGGCCAGAAGCATGAACTTAAACACAAGAGCCGGTATATAATGGTACAAGAAGAGCGTAGCATCTGTTAGAAAGTATGTCACGTAGTTGAGTGCATAGCCACCAAGAAGAACTTCTCCTATGCCTCGGAATTTATTCCATGTACCTAGTCACAAAGAGAAGATTCACAATATGAGAGAATGAAAGTCATTAGCTATAATTAACGGGGTGATAGCAGAGATGTTCACAGATGATACTATGGCTATTACCATGAATATATATATAAACATACTATATAACAGGAATCAAAGTGATATCGCTACAATGTGTGAAATAATCGGTTTGCGATTTCTATACAGCAGGTCCTCGCATAAGAATGACAAGAGAATATCTAGCAAAAACCACCAAAATTAGTTCATATTAACTTGCTGTACTGGTTGTTGCTGTACCTAATGGAAGATTACACACTGAGAAATGGAAGAAGGTCACACTGAAGATGAAGGAGTGTACCACATACCTTCATCAATGTCATAGCACTGCCTTTGCCTCCTAATCAGGTAGAACACCAACAACCCGCAGTATGCCAAACCAGCAGCGACTCCACTGTACCAAATCACGAAATTACCTAGCAGGTGTATCTGAGCCTGAAGGAACATGTGAAATAAGTTCAATGACCATCTTCAACAACGTTTCAACATGGAACGTACTGCTATGTCACAAAAAATTCATTCAACTTCAATTCACCTTTAATATTTCATGAGGAATGCGTGCATGCATATTTATCAGAGTATGATTAACAATTAAGTACCGATATGAATAAAGTATAATTAGAAAGCTCACATTGGACTCGCTGCTGACCCAGTATGCCGTGGTCCTCCCCAGTAATGGCCACTCCAAAGGCCTTGAGCTGTACATATGCTCTAACGGTCGATCTATTCTTGTCATCAACATCTTCTCCTTTAAAGTTTAGAAGTGAAAAGTAGTTATGATTCTAAAATGGAATGTGTACATCAATTATTATGTGTGGCATGCAACAGTAGCTTTCCAATAATTGATCACCCTTGTATTATTTTGTCAGGGTAAAAGGGCCATTTTCTCCATTTTGGGAGTAATATTTGACATTAAAGAGTATACTAACTTGCATTGTACACATAACAAAGATGCTTTATTGACACCCATGAAGCATGAAAAGTGAAATTAGTTTTGTAGGAGAAATTCTGCAATTCTGCAGAGTGATGTAGCAATGGTGACTAGGCCACTATGCATGTGTGTGAAACGACTGGCAAAATTTTTGAGTGAAGTTTGTACTTTGAATCAGTGGAATCGTAGCATAAATAAAGAGCATGTTGTCTATGTACTGAGACTTTCTAAGTATTTTAAATTTATTTTCGTGTCACGCTTATTCAGAATCAGGTCTGCTGTCTATGGACACCACATACTGGTGAATCTTGCCTACAACACATCTATATGGTGGGCATATGTTTCCATGAACCAAAGTATGGTCGTGACGTACACTGACGTCAGTGTGACGTCAGTGGCTATCTACCACCATAGATAGTGTTTGGTACTATAACACGCGTATATAAGATAACCGAGTCGATTTATTGTTAGTGTTAGTGTTAGGGTTAGGGTTAGGGTTAGGGTTTTTGCATCATTCCTTGATATACGGAAAGTCTGATGCAGAAGTTGATATGCGTAGTATGGAATATGACCATGCACAACCACCAGCACCATCAGCAGGCTGTATGCATTCCACTTCGGAGATAGCCGAGTTTGTGCGTGACGTCAGTGTAGATCACGACCATACTTTGGTTCATGAAAACATATGCCAACCCATATGATCTATATAAGATTTCAGCCAACAGGTGGCAGCACTAAGTGTTGCAATGTTAATCAAACGTATTCTTCATGTTATCTTGTAATAGAATCTATAAACCTTCTTCCGTGTTCCTGTTCTACTAGGGCCGAGAAATCCATGTTGAAACCTCTCTTCATGCTGGTTAAATGTACAGCATTGGCATACTGAAGGATTACCTGTAGCTCAGCAAACTTCCGCCAGAACCCTAATTTAATGGGATGAGTTGGGATCATCTCCGCTGACGTTAGATCATGCTCTCGTTGCTGCTTGCCCTCTACTACAGCACAAACACGTATACAGCATTATAGTCCCTGATTCAACATTGCTAACCACGAGTAAGCAATAGGCAAACGAATACAGTGTGGGACAATGTGCATAGTCACGAGCATATGGAGGCACAGAGTTGCTAGTGAACACAGCGAATGAAACACATGGACATACCCAGCCCAGTAATGTAAAACATAATTACTGCAAATAAAGTAACCGTGGAACCCATTCTAGTACATTCAATATATTCACAAATATATGGACTGTGCATGGTTCAGTGGAAGAAAATGACATACCGATGCAACGTTGCAAACAGACATTTTTATATGACAGGATTGTAACATATCATGATACATATCATAACATGTTGCAATACTGAACAAAACGAGGAATTATTGTAAAGTAATAATAGCTACCCTTTGTATATCGGTGTTCCTCTACATTCCATGCCGTCATCTCATGACTGAATTCATTATCAGTCACCACCTCAAACTGGTGGAATCCCCAGTCTGGAAGCTGCTTGCCACTTATCTATACACACACACACGCACAGATATGGAATACAATTAAAAATATAAATGCTAATATCTACTTGAGCTATACAGAGGTATAAAAAATAATGTTTTCCGTTTATAACTCTTCTATGACTTCAGGTTAATTCATACATATCTTTACCAATAAAAGTAGTCTCGGTTAAAAAGATAAATTCCTGTCTGTGTAACACACCTTAAGAGCTAATGAAGAATCAACATGTTGAAGTCTGACATGCGACTGTACAGAAATCCACACGTCATCATCTGTCTTCCGGTTGAGAATATCCTAAGTAAATGCCAAGATAAACACACTTACACACAACAGCCACAAGATAAATCAGTCAGGGACAAGCTCATTACCAAGAGACATTTTAAATACGCATGCATGCACACACACGTTTGTTAACACAGATCAAACAGTCAAAAGTAAGCTTACATGTGAAATATATGTAACCATAAACACCTGTTAACCACTTAGCAACAACAGTGCAGATATATATGTGCATGTAAATATGTCCATCAATGTATCAGAATGCATCACATCATACGGGGCGCCATGCAGGACAGGGCTCAATTTTGTCAACAAAATCCATTTTTGTACCTATAAACTTGACAAAAATGAGTTTTGTGGGACAAAACTCAATTTTGTCTAACAAAACTCAATTCTGTCTCACAAAACTCAATTTTGTCTCACAAAACTCAATTCTGTCTCACAAAAGTCAATTTTGTCTCACAAAACTCAATTCTGTCTCACAAAAGTCAATTTTGTG